GTATTTTTTCTTATAAACACTACAACAAATAATTTCTATGTTACAATCGTAGAGACTGTGTTTGTAAGGGGTTATCTACCTAACCTGCATGTGTTTGTGAGTGAGTATAGTAGTTGTAAGATTGTTTATTTATTGATTGCTCTTAATTCTGTTGTGTATTGCGACACCTATACTTACTTATATTTTATTGTATGTAGGGGGTAATCTTTGGAACCGCTGGTCGGATTTCCAAAATTCTTTCACTGATAAATAGTTACAATGTTCCCGAGTGCTATAGGCTACAAACCATCACGCTACAATTAAATGGAGCCGAGCAGCGGGTGAAACCGCGCGAGAGTAGCTAGTTGGTAATAAAATACGTAGTTGTCTCATAGTTCAGCCTGTGTAACCTTTTTCTATCAATTTTAGTCAGAAATCTTTGTTTATCTCATTGTTTAGACATGGATCCAATACGAACAAATTTTGAAGGAATCCAAAATGATCCGATAGTTATAGATCTGCTGTTAGTGTCAAGTATAGAATGAACTGGCAAAAGGGAGTGCTTTTCGGAAACGATGGGCAATATAAGAAGCTGGTGTACTGTTAGTACCATTATAAAATGAAAATAAAATAGTAATTAATCAAAATAAATTTATTGAAACACTTTAATAACGCATTAGGCATCTGTTCCGTTGTCAGTTTCTCATTGAGAAATTTGATACGATTTAAAGTGCTAATATACATTACGAAAGCCAACAGCTTCGTTGCTTTTGATATTGTTCTCTTTAACAGGCACATTAATTTTTATTTATATATAACTATAAGAATGGCTAGAATTTTAGTATTTTGAAGTCACCTAAGCAGAAATTTTCCAAATATGTCAACATGCATTATATTATTATATTGAAAATACGACAATAGCATCGAGCTTGCATTACTTCGCGCAAGTGATTCATGTCTGTAGAGAATAGAAATACTCCTAGCTGAACAGAAACACCTCCTATTTGCACTTTATTTATCATATACTTCAAACAATGAAATTTAAACTTTAGTGTCTTGACATAAAGCTGTATAGTGTGGCATAATAAAGTTTGTATTGGTTCACATGCTCTCGTTTCGCGTATACGTGCCGAGTTCCGGAAAGTCCTCGCGTCTTGTTACCACCACGCGTTTGTAGATTGGATTTGTTTCTCCGCATGCTAATAATGTAGGTACGTGCAAACTCGGATTAGCGGTGGAAGACAAAAAACGTCGCCTCGTTTATATATTATTTTTGCGAAAAATAAATACTATTACGTTTGTTTGAGTCTGGCTGTCGTCACAAAAACAATTGTCTCGTCTCGTCGAGTTTTATTTACACAACTGATATTTTAATAAATGTGCTGTGTTAAGTCTGATAAAGCCGGTGCTTTGGTATAATAACTCCTATTTTTGGTGTTTAGTGGCTTAATTTGAATACATAACATGCTAGCGACGTCATAAAGCAGATAGTCTTTTAAGGAATTGAGAGGGGTATACTTATAAAAATCACAACTACAATTAACTAATTAGTCGCCTTGTGTTATTTATTTATTATGTTACTACGACCTTTAAATTAATTTCTGTTGTAAGGATGTTTAAGAATGTGGATTCGGAAGCCATCACGATTGTTCATCAATCACGTATCACGTCGTAATTGTAAATTTTTACTACTATCATTGATTTTGTCCCTAAAAGAGCTATAAATAAGTAGGTACTCTCTTCGATTCCAGACTTAAAACCAAGATCTCATATTTGCTTTTACGCTTGTGCTCATTTTCTCACCAGAACAAGCGAGATTATTACAATCCATATCCTTACACGTGTAGCAATAAATACGAATACTGAACAATTTAATTGTTTCCTATTGAAGGTCGTCATGAGTTATAGTTATAACACATCTTATATAATAATCGATTGTGTTTTGTTTGACTTCATTATTATTATTATGTCAAGCATTACAACTGGTTGTTATGTAAGGATATTACCTTTTTTTTAGGGAGTTTGAACTTTTTTAAGATTGGAACAAAAGTTGCGTTAAGAATTTAAAGTCTTGATTAATACGCTTTTCTTCTTTTACGTGTAAGGAGCATAATATTGAATCGTATACATTAAATAATAATTTGAAAAGCAGTCTTTTCAAATAATAAACAAAAAAATAATGTACCTACCTACAAATTAGATTCAAATTGTGGTTCTCTCCCTAACAATAACCGCAGATACAAGTTCAAGGCGTCCTACTTACGATCCGTGTGACCACAAAACTATCGCTCTCACGAAACCTACTCGAATTTTCAATTTCCATAAACGTATAAGTAATACTTATAGGTAAACATATTTCCTATCTTGCACGTTAGTGAATATCTCATTTGACATCGTTTCTACGTCACTGGTTCGATACCCGTTTCGATAGCCTGTTTGCTAAGTTCAGATTCAAATATTGGTTTGGCTATACAGTTATTTAGCACGATCTTGTCATGAAAACCGGAAGTTTTAAAATCAGGAACACTTACATTACTTATTCTTATTTGTTTTAATTCACAGAAGGCTTACAAGCGAACAAAAAATGGTTATAAAAACTGTAATAGTAATATGATCAACTCGCTAATCACATGCCTCCATACTTATAATTTTTTGTTTATAAATGTTTGCATTAATGTGTAAAAATGTATTTTGTATCGCAAAATGCTGGTGCTAAATAACTGAAAGTAACAAAAAAAACTGATTCCATAAAAATGCATAAAACGTTGATGGACAAAATCTCTTGAAGAAATGGGCGCTTCCCTTGGGGTAAAGGATGAAATATTATTTATATAATTTGCTACCATGTTAAGCATGTGGATTTTCCGCAATAGGAGGGAAAGTTGCCCTCAAACGCCATCTTTTTGTCAGTCACGTAGTGAAAGACGTGATGGGATTAAAGATTTTCAGCGAGAGAATGATCAGTATCACCTACGTTTATCGTAACAAGTTGGAAACAAGTCGTTTGTTATTGCTTTCTTTGAACATATGTTCGTACATCATTATATGGATGTAGAAACTATTTTAGGGAAGTCCGATCCTTGGTCAGATCTGAATCTAGAGGTCCTGTTAACTTCCTATTTTAAATGTTGAAGGTAAAAGTGAAACGAGATATTAAGACAGTAGGTAAAAAACTTTTTGACTATTATGTACATTTGTACCTATTTATTTTTCTGTCATACAATAAGACATGAAACTCGTGACTTTTTGTTTTTTATAACTGCTGTGACAGTCCTTATGACTGTAGTAATTAGGTTGACAATCAGAGTATGAAAGAAAGATTTTAGTAAGGGCATTTTTACTGTGTATTGTGAACAAACTGAAGTTAGTAGATACGTGTATTGTACGGTGTGTAACGACAAGTGATTCGGGTCACTAGTTCATTTGAGTCTCTCACCGTGGCCTCGTTGATTGATAGTCGCTAATGATTATTACATGGCATTACGTTGCATTGATGCTTTTTGGATGAACACCTGATGCTTGCATTACAGTATTATGCTAGAATTGTAACAGTGCTTTGAGTACATTTAGGTTTTTATTTAAAGTTAAGGCCAACTTTCGACTGCACGGTTGGCGCGGTGGTTGGGCACATAACATGTCGATTCTCGCACGAGCAACTCTTTGTGTGATCTACCAATTGTTTATCCGGGTTTGGGTGAGATGTATGCAGGAAAAATTATATGTTTATAAACACGACCCAAGAGACAACACTAGGATGGGGCAACGTTTTTAAAAAAAGGAAGAAAAGGACTTGCTCTTATTTCACTTTAATGAGTCTTGATTAAGTAAAGTAATAATAAAATTTTAGACAAGTTTTTAGTTTTCAATTTTGATAATCATAGATTATGTGATTGATATCGTTGATACATGAAATATAAATAGATATTTACAGATTTCAAGCTATCATTGCAGCGGTAAGTTTTTACTTTAAGAAGTGGCTAGAGAGACGCCACTATTCCTTCCGCCTGATGCAGGTGCTTAATGCACACGGAAGTCAATCGGGAACCATCTGTTTCGGGTTTAGCAGAAGTAACGCTCGGGTACCGTCACTGAAGAACATAGTGCAGCATATACCGGCAATTTACTTTGCTTGAGGTGAGTACCGCCATATCTTCAGGGAAGTGATGGACGGCGGCAACATCTAGTGAGGAGACAGAGCACGTGAGAATCCGATCTGCCTCAGCACCGTATGCGCAAGTCTGCGGACAGTAAGATAGGGTAGCTTGCGGCTCGAACCAAAACCAAACCAATAGCGTAGGAGGCATCGTGTTTCGCACGCGCCTCAAATCTTTGTCAGTCCATCAGGGCCAATCTCCAGCCAGGGTTGTGGAGCGTGCACCTCAATGATGTTGCAAAGGCCGGCTTGGTGCAAAAGAAGGAACATGTTGATTTTTTGTCAGTTCAAATTGAACAATGACATAAAGTTATGAGAATAGTATCCAACACTGGAGATAATAATCTTGAAAATTTAAATAACTTATTAACAAAGTCCTTGTGTATTTAGGTCAAATTGCAACATGATCCAAAATCTCCAGAAATTTGAGAATGCGATCCAAAGAACGACGCAATACTATTGAGACGCACGTATACAATATGCCGCAGCAGCAGCTTTACTGAAGCAATATGCAAGCGACGACTGCACGAGCGTGTAAATTGTTAAAGTTGGAGAGCGGTTGCAATTTTCACAGCTGTATAAAATATTGTCAGGCGCAATGGCGGACATGGGTGCGAAACGATGGATGCGTTCTCTTTGGCTTTCTGGCACGTTTTGAAGTTTTCCTATGCTAACTGATATTGCTTACTTACTATGATTGAGATTTTAAGTGACAAAAACTAGTCTTAATTGTGATAACCAAATATGGCGCTCGTTTTTAATTGTTGGACAAAGTGTGAGAGAATGTGCCGTCTCGATCGGAGTGACACCACGGGCTCACAGAAAATCGACATAAAGCCCTAATTTTTGTTTCGCCGCGTGAGTGAGGCTACCGTAGGTCCAATCCTACAGTCCTAGCCCCCCTATTCTCAATCCTCAAATTCTTTATAATCCACAAGTACAAGTGCAAAGCTATTGTAGTAACTCCTTTGGTATCACGAGTGTCCATGGGCGGCGCTGATTGTTTATCACCAGGTAATCCGTCTGCGCGTCTGCCATCCTATGACATTAAAAAACATTTTCAAATAGTAAACGGTTTCGAAATAATGTTTTTGATGTTGACAGAGTATTATTCGGATATTTTGGTTTTTTTAATGAATTATCAATTTGGTAGGGTATCAGTGCACGCCAGATTGGCGAAAAGGGTATGAGGCGAGATACTTGCCTCGTTGACGAATAAAAAGCGCAATGTTATGCTATGTCATTATTGTCAGAAATGATGCTACGTTCAAAGTGCCAGCTAGGTACATTGTTGACACAGACAAATGAGTTCGTGAGTACATAACAATAATGGTCCTATGTTATGACATCGCGTCTATAGAACACCAGTTGAGTAATAGTCTTAATAGATGTACCTCGCTTTGATATTAAATTAAATGTTATTTTATAAATTTAAATAAAACTTTTAAGAACATTGCCTCGTTTATGGTGTGATTAATAATTTAATTTTCGAATCTAAAATTGTGTTCTATACCTATTTGGTAAACTGTCCTCTATTTAGTATTCTAATTAATCGAAATGGAGACCACCATATTCACAAAGCCATGGCCTGTGGCCATGCCTCAAGGTGTTGACCAATATTGCCAGAAAAATTGAAATAAATTCACGTGTACTTATTGACTTAATTTATTCAGATTTTAGTAAATCAAAGATTTTTCTCTCATCTTTGAGTACTTACTTACTAACTACCTAACTGGTAACCACATCTTTTTGAATAAAGTAACAATATGTGATGAGATACAGAGTCATATTTTTTTCAGCTCGTCCAAAAACCACCCCAAACAACGCGTGTCGTTAATTCTTAAACACAATTAATTTTTACAGCACTTAACTTTCTTTCAAAATTAATTATCCTTTACGTCGTAATGCGCCACTCCATTACATCCATCGTTAAAATAAATGTTCATTTTTTTTACTCAGATTTCGTAACTGTTTGGGAATGAAAAGTATGTGACAGTAAAGTAAATTTACTTTATGTCAAAATTTTGTCACGTAGGTACAATTAGGTACTTAAAAAATCAAAATGATTATTTCTAGAACCTTTTGGTTTTGATGGTGCTGATTATAAAAACTTTTGATACTGCCAGTATAGTCGACAATGTTTAAGGTTTAAGGTAAGATTCGGTTGTCATTCAAATAAATAAAATTCAAAACTTTGACGCAGTTTTGTTAAATCTGATACTACAGATGTTCCTAAATTACTTTTAGGAACTGGCGAAATATGAGTGGTCTGGTCGGCTAGACTTCTGGTGCATTCACCGTTATCCACCGAATAAATCGAGACCCAAAGTTATAAGCAAAATATCTCAAATTAAATTCTTATCGCTAGCGTATGTATAGACCATATTCTAATTCCATGGCACGGGTCCGAACTCCGAAATACTTGAAACTACTTGGCAGCTGGATATTAGGTACAGCTGTCAGATTTAGGCAAACAATTGCGTCTCTCGTTTGCTGTGAAACCTAAATCCGCTCTGTTTCTCACATTAGTTCAATCCCGATGAATTGGGGCACTTGCTTCACTACAGTTGCATTTCGCTTGAGCTTGCATTGTGTAACGCCTACTAAAGTTCCGCACTCCAATGTCGTGGACTTGGGACAAGGGTCGTAAACCTTTCGCCCGGTATATTTGGTTAAGTTTTGATAAACGTCATTTCGTTCACACTTGTATGGACCGAGAAACTACTGGAGTCAGAATACGTTTGCAGCAAGTTAGTTTTTTCAAGTTCGTATTTGAACTTTTAAAGGAGGATTCTGGAAACCACCGTGTGTGTATATAATATAGTTTCGCAGTAGGAACAGTTCGTGTTAATATAACTTAGCCCTAATTGCCTCAAACGTATTGCTTCTTATTTATTAGGCTTTCAGATAACCTGAACAAAAATAATATGTTCCAAGTACTGATTAATCTCAGAAACAAATGACTACGATAACTTGTACGAACTACTACAAGTATTCCTATTACGAGCTGACAGTATGAATTATAAACAAACAATATGCTAGCCGAATGTTCTCAATCTATCTAAGATTCTCAATAAATCAACGCAGTAATGCTCAGTAAATATTCTCGAACAAAGAGTCTAATAAAAAGGACCAAGAAACAAATTACCTAATTTCTCTTTATGTATACAAAATGAGCTCGAACTCGCTCAAATTGGTCGTTAAACACACTAAAACAATTTGGTATGAAGGCGGGAACCTTATTAGCAGGTTTAATCTGGAAGACTGAAAGCGTATACATTTCGTTTACTTTTGAAGCAACTTCCATATTTAAGAAGACAATCTGCGCATAGTTTGGATATGTGGAAATTAATACGTTAGTTCTGCTTAAAATGAGAAATTTGATGAATGAATTTATAAAATACATATGTATGTATCTATCTTTGAGCGTGCGATCATACTCGTGTTACATAGTATGGACTCCAAACTGTCTTGATAGTCTTGTTAACTAAGCATAACTTCTTTTACTCTACTTAAATATACCATGTTTTTTTCTTTTCTCAACAAAACTGAAACAGCTATACCAAGAAGATATTGTCATATAATGTCTATCAAGAGCTTGCAACACAGATGAAGGGTGTCGGTAACAGTAATTAGAATAGAACTAAGGCAACATTTACCTCGTAGAACGGCGCCTGAATACCACAATATGCAAACTCGTTGTGTTCAGCCTACATGGAGCATGTTCAATAGGTGTGTGTCTTTGAGAGCGACGCCCGGGGCACTCAACGAGCCTTTTAACACGTAATTGTGTTAATATGTTCCGACGTACGACACTTGCGAAATTAGATGAGCCTGTTGTGTACTTTGATTATGTTTCTTTTAGCGTGAGTTCGGAGTTTGGGCGTTTGTACCTAGAAGAATTTCAAATATTTTTTGCTTTAGAGTGGTAGTGGTAATAGTTTTAATACATGCATTGAATACTTTTATGACAAACACAATGCAACATCGCGTATGACCATCAACGGATATAGAATATATAATATAATAATATAATTAGAGACACCAATAAAGAATCCTGGTTATTGCATGAGAACATCCGAAAGCTTCTTCTTCTTTGTATTAAGAAGATACATACATACATAGAGATCAATGAATAACAGACAGAATTGAAAACTTTAATAACCTTAAAACAATCTCATCATTCAGCAAAGTCCACTCCAATATGTCGAAGATCGATTTACTCCGACATCGGCGCTGTTGTTGACATTCCCCATCGTTCATCGTTTGCTGCAGCCAGCAGCCAGTATTTTCATTTTCGATTTACTGCCTCTAAGAGATAGCACATTGGTTAGTAATTGAACCACGGACGTCTTTGATATATCGGTTCTTTTATCGGATTGGACGGACGCAATAACAGAACCTTGATTGCTTCCAAGTGGACTTGGAAGATTGATTATTTTCTCGTTACTTCCTCAGTGTCTTCTCTTGTTTTATATACATTGTAGTATATGGTTTTAATTTTACCTTTAATCAGAAATGTCAGGGAGAACGATCGAGAAGCGACGGCAACTTGTTACGTTGTTGTAATCGAATATTGCACGAATCTGTAAGATTAGTATTCGTTTTTGGCCGTTCCGTGGGTCTAAGTGTCACAACTGTGACTATAAGGACAAGCACATACAGAGGAAACTCATTGATCTTATACGAGCTGACGGATTACCTGATGGTAAGCAATCTGTGATGCCCATGGAAACTCGCAACAACGGAATAGTTACGAGTGCGTTGCCGACCTTTTGGGATTAGGGAATTGGCGATTTTGGGAATGGGGAGGGATTGGGGTAGGGGGAGCATTGGGTCTCCGGTAACCTCACTCACACGGCAAAACACAACGCTGCTGTGGTTGTTTTACGCCGGTTTTCTGTGAGGCCGTGGTATCACTTCGGTCAAGCCAACTCATTCGTGCCAAATCATAGCTCTTCCACACACAACGCTTTTATTTATCAATCAACACAAATATACATTGCTCAAATGAAAACGACTTTATTTTTATAAAAACAAACCCAATGTTTGTCAAGGATTCAAAAGCTTAAACCAAAATAATTTAATTATGTCTCCAAAGCCCAGCTTCGCCTGAAACATCAAAACTCTGATTCTCAGACCATTTGAATATTCAAAGCGTTAAAGTATATTTTTTTAAAGACGTCCTAAACAAAGACTGTCATTTAGATCGTATGTTGGTCTGACCCGGTATGGCAAAAAGCGGGAAACATTAATGTGAATATATTGTCGGCGAAGCATTCTGTCCGTTCGTTCTGGCCAAAGCTCATAAATAAACAAAACTGGATGCTCTGTCGAAAAGTTTCCTGAAAAAAAAAGATGCAAAAAAACGTAAAATTTACAACCGGGAATTCAGTGGAGTTTTAATTAACCGTACAATGGATCGGTGCGAGAACAAACTGTGCCATACGTGTACCATCTAAATATTAGTTTGACTAGAGAAAGTTATTCAAAATTGACGTTCGCTGTATTGTAACGTGGCAATTAAAACTTATGTTTAGGACGCGCTTACTAGTAAAGTTATTTGTGTTTAGTACCTATGCAATTGCTTATTATTTACGAATTTGTTGGTTGGTTTGTTGGCTACAGGTTTGCATGGCAAGCTTTGATTCAATTTAGTAAAGCTGATGTATCAGGACTTGATTTGAGACTTTAAATCAGTACTTGACTTTGGTCTTGTAAACAAATTTTAAAATTGGTTTTGACTATTGAAAAGCGTTGCATTACTTCTTTAATAGTCATCGGTTTCACAGTTTAATATGATCGTTCATTTAATATCATAAAACGTTTTTATTTTGTGAATTCATCAAACTAAATTACTAGTTCAAATTGAGTGAAGATTTTTTTTTAAATTGGCGTATTAGCATAACCCTTATCGTGAAAACACGACATATTTTCCCAACCATTACTCCATCCTTCCGAAAACTCAATGAAAACACTTTTTTCAACAAAATTAAACAAGCCAGCCACAACGTATTAATCTAACGTCTCTGTATAACC